AACGGCTCGAGAGAGCGGCCGGAGAGAGACATGTTAAGCAAGAGAGACGAGGGAGGATGCCGGAGTGCCGCAGCAAGAGAGAGAAGGAGGATGCCGGAATGCTCACCGCAGCGCGAGCCAAGGGCGAGCCCGATGGAGCGAGCGGAGGAGAGAGAGAGCGCGGGACCTTGGCGCGCAGTAGAGTATCAAGTATTCGTAATTATAATATTGATATATCTCGCGCAGAATCTAGGCGTTGAAATATTATAGATACCGAGAGGACTCCGGGAGCCAAGTAAACCACAGGCCGATCCTGAAGGGGGACTACGGAGGGCCTGGCCAGCCCCCGTTTGTTCCCGAAGGAGAGATGCCGCGGGAAGAAACCCGGAGGAAAAATCCTGTCGAACAGCGTTCCGCTCCCGGCGTGAGAATTACCTCAGCTAAAGGGGGAGGCGGGGGGAGACCTTAGGGCCCCCGCCATCGACCCTATCATCGAAGGATGCGCAAAAGATCGGCGCGAAAAAGAAGGTACCGAGACGCGCGAGGCCCGGCTCTCCACTGTTCGGTGTGCCGTAGACTAGAGAGGGTGCCTCCAGGACTCCACAAGTGCGACTCAAGGACTCGAATTCACCGCCAGAAACTGTAAGCCGCCTCTCGAGTAGTCGTAGTTACGTGTTGGTTGGTACCGTAGATATTGATCGTGTACCGTAATTACCGTGAGTACCGTACTCTCTCATTTTTCGTATCGTTTTGTGTGTGAGAGAGCGGTCTCTCTCTTTTCGTTTTTCGGGGTATCGTATCGCGGGGCCAGCCGACTTTGCGTTTCGCGAAGAGAGCCCTCTCCGAAAAGTGCCGCCGACAGTCTATCGTCTCGAAAATAATTATCGTAAATTCGGGTTACCGAAATATTCAGAGTCACGTTTTTATTAGCTCGATTATTAGATTTTCGGGATTTGCGTGTAGCCGTCTCCGCGAGTTTGTTAACTATTTCATTGTTCTCGACTCGGCGAGAGAGTCGTGCGAGAGAATCACGAAATCTCCGTCATCTAGTTGTTATCTTGTTTTTTTCATACCGTGCCGTGTCTCGGAATATCGTATTGTGACCTCTGTCTATTCCGCGTGCCCGCGAAAATAAGTTAGACCATCATAACGTTTACCGATTTTGTATTTGTTATTCCGTTTGTATATTATTGTCGCGAAATTATATAGAATGTTTCACCGTGTATAATTAATACTAATTTTATAAGTCAATTCCGAAAATACCGATATTCGCCGATCTTATGATATTATATTGTTCGTTTCAATACCGCTAGTTTATCTATTACTGTTTGTTACATAATTTTAGTATCCCATTGTATGTATCCGATGTCAAATTGTAAATCCTAAGTGTCAAATATATATATCTGTCAAATTCTAACACCACGTGTATGTCTCTCTATACCTCTCTCTCAACCATAGACCCATCACTCCTATAGACCCGCGACTCTGTATGACTTTTGGAGAAGTGACGTTAAGTACCGTTCACAGTATTATCGTGGCGCGTTCACACGCGCCTGGCGCCCAACTTTACCGTGAGTTAATGAACGCCCCTAAGGGCGTAGAATTAACTCTTCTGATACCGATTTTTACCGTTTTATTAGTTAAACTTGGAGAACCTTTAAATTGAACGCTCCCCTGTCCGAACTTGGCGTTTCGGCACAGGAAAAGACGTTGCACACTCAGGTTATTAATTAAATCAGGATGTGGATTAGAGATTAGAGACATATATATATATATATATATATATATATATTATGTTCCAGTTAAAATGTATCTTATTGCGATCTTCTATATATCGTAGAGTCGTTACAGACGCCGGAGATTTCGCTGTCGTTAACGCCGCCAGAATGATTCTTTCCCTGCGTTTTTCTCTCTCTCCGGTCCGCTCGAAGATCCCCATATTTATACGCGTTGTCCAAAAAGTATTTCCACCCCAAAGTATTGGATCAATCGGAGCAGTTTTTATTTTAACAGATTAAATCGTTTAGTCTTTACGAAAAACAATAACTTTGGCGAACGAGAGAGATTCGGTTGACGGTCGCAAAAATAAATAAAAATGTAACAACACATGATTAAATTAAACCGGTCGAAGGACAAGTAGACGAAAATATAAATAAAACAAATCAACGTCTCTCTCGTTTTTCTTTCCCTTATATACGGCTAAATGTACTTCGCGATAAAATAAAATATATAAGAATGCCTACAATATATTTTTTTAATTAAAAAAAAATTAGCATTAAGTTAGTCAGAAAAATTTCATTTTTAATAAAAAAAACGGTCTAATCAATGCATAATCGTTTGTTGATGATTGTTGGTTTAATTTTATCGTTTGTTGGTTTATTATTAGTCTTAAAAACGAAAAATTATCACATTGAAGTCGCATCTACAGAAATCAAATATTATGATTTTGGTTTATTGCTTACGATTTAAGACTTATTTCTATAAATGTAAGGCTAACGCTATGAATACGGACCTTAAGGGGTAACATCTAGTCCGAAGGCAAAAATCATAGGCTGTTTTTGTGAATTTTTTGTGACGTTGCTACTGAATCGATTAATGTGAAATTTTCAGGCCAGAATATACTTGTCCTGGGGTGCAAAAATATATTTTTTTATTTTCAGTTTTATTACAAAATGGCGGCTCAGCAGCGCGTGGAAAAAAAATCGAATCTTTGTGAGGCATCTTGCGGCTAGCAGCAGAAGTCCCCAACGAATGTATCTGGAAAAATGAAAAAATGTTTACATAATCTATACGAGTATAGCTAGTGAAGTACACACGATTTTTAGGATCAATAAACAATTACGATTTTTATAAACAAATACAGGTCGAGTTTTTAGTCTCGAAAAATCGTTTTTTTGTTCACAGTGCTGCCAAATTTGCAAAAATCAATATTTTGTAATATTCATGTGTACTTCACTAGCTATATTCGTCCAAAATGTTCAAATTACAAAATTCGTCGCTGGTCAGCGCAAACATACTAGTCTGGCATTTTTGCAAGATGAGTCCATTTTCCAATCTTTTTTCTTTTAATTTGATCACTCCTTATATTGAAAAAGGAAAGATTTTTTTATTTTTTATTTATTTATTCCCGAATAATAGAAATAATAAATTATTAAATTACTTACATATTCAATTTCAGTGTCGCTTGTTAGGTCTCAACAAAACAATAGTTCAATGTGTGTCTTTATTATAAATTTGTCTGTTTATATAGTCAACTCTATTGTCTAAAATTCAAGGTTAATTTCTTTAAAAATGTTTATGATAATTCTTCGAGAATATCAAAATAACTGCTTTCCAATAATTCTGTTTTCTTATTCAGATTAATACAATTTTTATGTTCTTTTATATGTAACATTTCCAATATAAGTCTCTTATTATAATTAGGTTCTTGATCTAAAATTTCGGTCCTGTCCCAGTTAAATGTGTGACTATTTTTTAAAATATGTTCAGAGACTACTGAGTGTTTATTTGAATCTAATTTGATATTATTTCTATGTTCTTTAATTCTAGTTCTTAATTGTCTTTTTGTTTGTCCTATATACATTGCGTCACACAGTCATTGCAATTTATTTTATAAACTACATTTAAATTGTTAAGATCTTCATTTTTTATCTGGTACATTATCTGAGTTCGTCGCTAACAATATATCGTCAACATATCTAAAATAAAAAGTCAAATTCCACTGTGATGCGTCAATAATTGATGTTTCTAGATCTTGTAACACTAAATCCGCAATAATTGAAGAAAAAGGAGATCCCATCGGAGCTCCGTTTTGTTCATGTCTTATTGTTAAAATTGAAATATGTGGAAGTTAGTATAAATTTGATAGCTTTTAAAAATTCCTCTTTTGGAATTTCCGTCTGTGATTCAATATAATGCCATCTATTATTAACGCATTCTGTTCGCGAACGCGCTGCGTGAGAGAGGATCGCGCGACACAATAGGATAAGTCACCCTTTCTTTTGTATTAAAAAAAGTTTAATTTCAATACACACTTAATTACAAAATACTTGAACAAGACTTATAACATTTAAATATTTCAGTGACAATGTAATCGAGAACAAAGTGCGGAATAAGCGGCGGTCGTCAACGAGATTTTAGCGGATCAAAATAATATGCGGTTTGCGTTATGCGGTCACTGCGGAAAGCGATAAGGCGCGGATTTCGGGCGCGAGCTCTCTCTTATGGGTTTCCGAAGAAAACCCACTTTTTCGGAAAGCGCCAATTATTGCGAGCAATTTAAAATGTGCTCGAGGTGACTCGAAGGCACAGCTCATTATTGGCCGCTTTTCTAAGATGCTCAACGAACTCGCGTTTTGCCATGCGCGCGCGGCCGCTCGCTATTTCTAATTGGTGATCGAGGCCGCGTGGCAATTTTGCGCATGCTTGTAGCGCGAAAAGTATCCGGTAAAAACGGTTGCAAAATCGCTAATTGTTTGTGTGCAAAGAATGTTTTTGAGATGACAGGTTTAATTTATGACAGCTTTTTTCCGTGACAAACATACAAAAAAGACCGTGACTTTTATTATTGACGCGGATGGAAAATTCTAGAATTTACTAGGTTGTCGTGGGTTGGTGGTGGTTCCGGCGCGGATCACATTCCGATAGCGATCGATGGTGGGGCGGGCGCGCCGGCGCGGCGAAATACACGTGGTGATCGCGTGGTGTGAATCGATCAGCTGAGCCGATAAGAGCACGTGGTGAACGCGTGGTGTGAAATAATCAGCTGATCCGGTGAAAACGCGTGGTTGATGTGAACGGCGAGTGTGCAATGCAGTGAGCGGTGATAACGAAATAATTTTTTGTGCGGTGGTGGATGAGATGAGTGACGTGCGACAGATGCTATGATGCATGATGTGATGATTGTGTAATGAGTGACGTTACGAAGTGTCACCGTGCGGTGTAGGTGCGTCGTTCACGCCCGGGAGGAAAACAAGCTTGACGAGTGGGCGCACAAGCTCGGACGTGGCCGTTCGGATTGACACCACGCGTACAATCCCATCGTCCCCGGGGTGCAGTCGCGATATGCGAGCCAGTGGCCATCGGCTCGGTGGGGTGAGCTCGGAGCGCACGAGACAGAGATCGCCGACGTGGGGTGCAGCTTCGTCCTTGAGCCATTTGGTGCGCGAGGCTAGTCCGTGCAAATATTCGGATGACCAGCGCTGCCAGAAGTGATCCCTCATCTGCTGCAAATGACGCCAGCGTGACAAGGTGGATACCGTCTGCCCTGTCAATGACGGTTCCGGCACAGCGAGTAGCGGCGCCCCGACGAGGAAGTGACCGGGAGTCAACGCCGAGACGTCCTCTGGGTCATCTGAGAGTGTCTGCAATGGACGAGAATTAAGACAAGCTTCGATCTGGGCGAGGAGTGTGCTCAGCTCCTCGAACGTGAGGGTGGTCTCGCCGATCACCCGACGGAGGTGGAACTTGGTCGACTTCACTGCAGTCTCCCAAAGACCACCAAAGTGCGGGACCGCTGGCGGGTTGAAGTGCCAGCGGATTCCTTGAGCGGTGGCGGCAAGGAAGATACGATGACCTTCGGCTGTCGCTGCATCGAAGAGACCTCGCAGCGTACGATCTGCCCCGATGAATGTCGTGCCGCAGTCGCTGTAGATCTCAGCACAGAGGCCCCTGCGGGAGACGAAGCGGTGCAGAGCGGCGATGAAAGCTTCTGAGGTGTAGTCGGAGACGACTTCCAAGTGAGTGGCCTTCGACCAGAAACAGACGAAGACTGCGATGTACCCTTTGTGCGCACGGTGTCCACGTCCCTTGCTGGTCCGAAGGAGGATGGGTCCTGCATAATCCACGCCGGTGCTGAGGAACGGTCGGGTTGGCGTTACTCGGTCCCGAGGAAGGTTACCCATCTGAGGCTGTGGCGTGGCAGCACGCCATCGAGTGCAGGTAACGCATCGATGTAGCTGCTGCTTGACGGCGGTTCTTCCTCGAGGTACCCAGAAGCGCAGGCGGAGCAGGCCGAGTGTCAGCTGCACACCCCCGTGCAGTGTCCGTCGATTGCAGGAATCGATCACCAGCCGAGTCAGCCAGGATGCCGCCGGGATGATCATCGGATGTTTCTCGTCGAGCGGAAGTTGAGAGTTTTTGAGACGTCCTCTGACGCGCAGTACGCCTTGATCGTTGAGGAACGGACTCAACTTCACCAGGTGGCTTCGCGGTGGAGTAGGGCGTCCAGCAGAGGCCGCGGCTACGTCCGTCGGAAAGTGGAGCGCCTGCACCACTCGCAGCCATCGAAACAACGCGGAGTCCAGCTCGTCAGGATGCAATGGACGGCCAAGTCTGGCGTCACGTCTCACCGGGTTGAGCCATCGACGACACCACGCAGTGACTCGCAGCAGCCGTTGCAGCGTCGGGAACCGTAGAAGAAGGTCCGGTTCGGTAGTGACTGGCGCCTTGACTACCAGGCTGGTGACTCGCTGCTCAGGGAGGTCATCCTCTGGGACGTCGATGTCTGCACCAGGCCATGCAGCCTCGTCTCCTGACAGCCAGGTAGGTCCTGTCCACCACAGTTTATGATTGAGTAAGTCCTCAGGTGTAACACCACGCGATGCACAATCTGCAGGGTTTTCTCGTCCGGCGACGTGTCTCCAATGAGCGTCTGGAAGCAGGGTCTGGATCTGCGACACTCGGTTGGCAACAAAGGTCTTCCAGCGGGTGCAGTGTCCGCGAATCCAGTGAAGAGTGACCTTGGAGTCGGACCACAGGTGCACCGGCGTAGCAGCCAAGCCGAGGGTAGTGCGTACGTGCAGCATGAGCGTGGTGAGTAATGCGGCAGCACAAAGTTCCAATCGAGGTAGCGACACCTGCTTGACTGGTGCGACCTTCGATTTTGCCATCAGCAGATTAATTGATGTTTTCTCTGTTGCAGCGTTGCGGATGTACACGACGGCGGCGTATCCTCGCTTCGATGCATCGGCAAACCCATGGAGCTGCAATTGCGACTGGTCATCTCCGGTGCTGAGCCAACGATCCACACGGATGTGATCCAGCAACGGAAGTTGATTCAACAGTTGTTTCCAGCGGTGTGCGTCCTGATCAGGCAGCGGAGAGTCCCAATCCAGCCGTTGAAGCCACGTAGACTGGATCAGAATTTTGGCTCGGATGACGACAGGCACTAGCCAGCCCATCGGATCGAATAGTCGAGCTGTCTCGGCCAAGACTCGTCTCTTCGTGAGGTCGGTGATTGAACGTGGACGTATGGTGAAGGAGAACCAATCCCCTTGAGGATGCCATCGAAGACCCAGGGTGGCGTGGCTCTCTCCTTCCCACGAGCGCGGTCCGCGTTGAAGCCGATGTTCCGGTGGAATTCCGGTGAGCACCTGCTGATTGTTGGCAGCCCACTTTCGCAAAGGAAATCCGCCCGCCATGCAGAGACTCTGTAGTTCCTGTTGGAGTTCGATAGCATCCGCTAGGCTGTCAGCACCGGTGACCACGTCGACGTAACAGTCGTGTCGCAGCGCCCTGACTCCGCGTGGATATCGTGCCTCTTCGTCTGCAGCAAGTTGGTGAAGAGTCCTGATGGCGAGGAAGGGTGCGCACGCCAGTCCGTAGGTCACGGTCTTCAACTCGTACTCGCGGATGTTGTCTGAGCCGTTGTGGCGCCACAGGATGGTTTGCAGGCGACAATCCTCCGGATGCACAAGAATTTGTCGGTACATTTTCTCGATGTCCGTGACGAAAACGTACCGATGCCAACGCCAACGGAGTAAAACGTCAGCGAGTGCTGGCAAGAGGTTAGCTCCAGTGAGGAGGTGCGAGTTCAGCGACTCACCGGACCGTGTGCGTTGGGAGCCGTTGAACACAACCCTGAGCTTCGTGGTCGTGCTCGACTCCTTAAGGACCCCGTGATGCGGTAAGTAGCACCTGGGGCCAGAACCTGTCGTAGACGTACTAACCTTCTCCATGTGTTGCAGGTCTTCGTATTTGTCCATGAAGTCTCGATAGAGATCACCGAACCGAGCATCACGGGCTTCCTTCCGCTCCATTGCTTCCAGGAGGCGCTCTGCAGGTCGACGAGTCTCGCTGAGTGATGTCGGCGGTGAGGCAAATGGCAGCCTCACCACGTATCTTCTACTGGACGTGCGTGTGACTGTGCGCACATAGATGTCCTCGCATCTGGCTTCGTCGGCGGTGAGCACGATCCCAGCTGCTGGCTCGCGTTCCTGCTCCCAGAATCGTTGCACCAGGTCAGCGAGGTCGTTGTCGGCGGTGCACTAAAACGTGCGGCGATGTCCGTCGGTGACTGCTGAGTCGTAGCCTCCGGACAGGATCCATCCCAAGCTGGTCTGCTGGGCGATCGGCATGCGTGAGTCGCCCTTGCGAAGGCCTTCCTCAAGGATCAACGAATAGACCTCTGCACCAAGAAGTAGCTCCGCAGGGTCGTCATCCAGGTATCGCGGGTCGGCCAGTCGGAGTCCTTGGATGTGAGGCCAGCTGCAATTCTCGCGTTGGGCGGTGCCTTGTTGTAGTGAGATGCGAGGCAGCACAAAAGAGACCACGCGAAGCTCGGCGTTGGTCACGTCGGATGTGATGTCCAGGGTGACCTTGCCACGAGCCGATCCAGAGCGAGTCCCTCCGATGCCAAAGATGGACAGATCCGTCGAAGCTCGAGGAAGGCGAAGACGTTGAGCCAGTGCTTCAGAGATGATGGACACCTCGGAGCACTGGTCGATCAAGACTCTAACCTCGTGTGGTGATCCGTAGCGGTCCGCGACCTTGACGCAAGCAGTTGCAAGAAGGACGGCCTTGTGACTCTCAAACTGCCGTGAGGTGGCCAGTGTGGTGGCAAGTGAAGTGGCCTCAGCGGACGGTGGTGACGTGGATGCCCCGTGCAGCATGGTGTGGTGTCGTGCGTTGCAAGTGAGGCAATTCTTTTTCGATTGACACCGTGACAAGAAGTGATTGCCCAGGCAGTTGAAGCACAGTCGGTTGATCTCCACGAATGTTTTCCGTTCGACCGCGGTCTTGGCCTTGAACTCCTTGCAGGTCATCAGTGTATGTTTTTCACGACACAGTGCACACTGAGGCGAATCTGTGCCTTGATGTCTGGTGACGTGCGCTTTGGCGAATCGTGATGCCTCTCCAGTTCCCTTTGTGACACTCCTCGGTCGTGCGGCGTTGAGGGTCAATACCCGTCGACTAATGAAGTCGAGAAGTGCCTCGTTCTGTGGTGGTTCGGTGGAGTCTGACGTGGCTGACTCCCATTCGAGACGAGTGCGTGCGTCGAACAATTCGATGACCAGGTGATTGAACAGGTCCATCCCGTGCGTGTTGATAGGACGTCCAATACTCTCCTGTGCATTGATGGCGGCGGTGACAGCGTTGTGGATGCGGCTCAGCTCCTCGGCGGTATCTCCCTTCATCTTTGGCACGGCGGTAAACGTGGCAAAGTTGGAGCGGATTAACTCTCTTTTGTTGTCGTAATGCTTGTTCAAGATTGCCCAAGCGCGATCGTAATTGTCACTTGTGACAGGTAGTGATCTTATCAATTTTTCAGCCTGACCTGTCAAACATGAGCGGAGGTGGTGAAGGCGCTCGATGTTTGAGATGGAATTGCTGCTCACAACGGACAGGAAGAGATCACGAAATGACGGCTAATCAGCGCCAGAGAACGGCGGCAACTTGATGCGCGGCAGCGACGACTTTGATGCGACGTCGACGGATGGAGATACGTTTGGCTTCCGGAAATGTTCAGCGTAGCCATTCAGGATACTGCGTTGTGCCACGTAAAGATTTTCAGTATCTCCATGCAACTCCGACTTGAAGTATTCGCTTTCACTAAACTTCTCTTTCAGAACCGCGCGAATGAGATCATGCTGGGCCTCAAATTTCGTCCACAGCTGATCTAGGATCCTGATGCGTGTAGATACGGCACTGGCGGTGATGTTGGTCGTGCCCAGCTTCTTCAAGTATTCCACGGAGCGTGAAATACGGACTTGGATCTCACGTTGGCAATCGATCAAGGTGTTCACATCCATGTCGAACTACGAGCTCACTGACTGCACCAAGAGACACGTTCACAAACTTGCGGATGCCGGCACGATGGATCCGGCTCGAAGGGCCAGAATTATGTTCGCGAACGCGCTGCGTGAGAGAGGATCGCGCGACACAATAGGATAAGTCACCCTTTCTTTTGTATTAAAAAAAGTTTAATTTCAATACACACTTAATTACAAAATACTTGAACAAGACTTATAACATTTAAATATTTCAGTGACAATGTAATCGAGAACAAAGTGCGGAATAAGCGGCGGTCGTCAACGAGATTTTAGCGGATCAAAATAATATGCGGTTTGCGTTATGCGGTCACTGCGGAAAGCGATAAGGCGCGGATTTCGGGCGCGAGCTCTCTCTTATGGGTTTCCGAAGAAAACCCACTTTTTCGGAAAGCGCCAATTATTGCGAGCAATTTAAATTGTGCTCGAGGTGACTCGAAGGCACAGCTCATTATTGGCCGCTTTTCTAAGATGCGCAACGAACTCGCGTTTTGCCATGCGCGCGCGGCCGCTCGCTATTTCTAATTGGTGATCGAGGCCGCGTGGCAATTTTGCGCATGCTTGTAGCGCGAAAAGTATCCGGTAAAAACGGTTGCGAAACCGCTAATTGTTTGTGTGCAAAGAATGTTTTTGAGATGACAGGTTTAATTTATGACAGCTTTTTTCCGTGACAAACATACAAAAAAGACCGTGACTTTTATTATTGACGCGGATGGAAAATTCTAGAATTTACAAAAATTTTACTTAACATCTCAAACACATTCCATTGCAAGGTTCACAGGGACATTAATAAATAAAAAAACCACGTCCAATGAAACTATTATGTTTCCATTATTTAGAATTTTACCAGACAGCGCACTGCACAATTTAAAACTATTATTTACAAAGCTATTGGCTTTCGGAATACTTTTTATTAATATTTTATGGAAGAATAAAGCTAAATGATGTAAGGCCGTGTTTATAGACGAAACTATAATTCTAAAAGGAAAGTCTTTTTTATGGATTTTAGGCAGGCCATACGCCTTAGGGAGGAGGCAATCACTGGAATGTAAAAAATAGTACTCCGTTTTCGTGATATATCCCTTAGTATGCCATTTTTTTAAAAACGTGTTTAATTATTATTTCTATTTTAAGTGCTGAATTACTATTTATTATTTTGTACGTGTCCGTGTCGCTCAGCAAATTCTCCACTTTATTACACTGAGAAAAAACAATAGTTGCAATTACCATAATTTAACTATAATTTTAAGTAAGTTTAGGGGACAACAATGTGGGGAGTTATAAGTTGTACAGCATATGTTAATGCAATTAATGTGGATACTGTAAATTAATTAATATGATAGCCAGAACAATATATAATATATATATATTTGTATATTTAATTTATAATCTAAAACAACTAAAATATTAACTAACTAGGATAATTGTAGTTCTTTAATATAACTATATAAATATATAATTAATTCTACC